AGTGGAAACAGTTTAAAAACATAAAAACCTTTTTTAGTTTTAAAAATGAAAACACAGATACCTGACTATCCTTCTAAGATGAGTACATTGGATAATGCTGTCCTGTCAAAGTGTAACGACCTCCATAAGAAAACTTAGTCAGTTTTGCTCCTCACTGCCTTTATAGTATCTGCATTTGTCCACATTTTGTTTTCCTAAAGATCTGCAAGGTCCATGCCAAATGAAAGCAGACATTAATCTTCATTCCAGCCTCTTTCAATAGGCTGTACTTCCTCACAGAAGACTGATATGCACTCATGTCACAGACTTTCTGCAGATACACTGTGCTACTAAAAGTGCATATAGTAAATGGCTACATTAATTACACAGCCAAGTGTTATTTCTTGCTTAAACCTGTTTGCTGCATAGGCAATCTACCCACCTGCCTTGGAAAACAGAGCAGTTCAGCTTAAAATAGTAGCAAACTATCTCTCAAAAAAATAAAAGACGGATAGTTGCAGCATAACATTTCTGCAGAGGGAAAGCTTAACACTGCTAATATGGAAACATAATCCATACGCTGTCTTGCAGGCTGCTGCGCTCTCTAGAGGGAACTAATAGCAAAGGAAACTGTATTCTACATTTCCCCTCCCCTTTTCAGACCATTAATGAATTCTCAGGTGTCTGTTGGAATAGTGAAAATCTTACTGACGACACAGTGTTTCAACAGCATGCAGGGGAAAATGGCTAAAAAGATGGTTGGAATCAACCCCCACCATTTTCTTTACTTATCACCAGCTCATTTAGCAGCTTCTATTTTCTTTCCTTTTTCTCTGATATGTTTCTCTTCAATCTTCAACTTCCAGTCTATGCCTATAACAAAAGAATCTAAATAACACAGAATAGGGGCTTTAACTAATGAGCATATACATGAACACCGAAGTGGGTACTACAGGAAGAATAAATTAATAGCTAGGGAGCAGTAGATAGTGGAAGATGTAACGGCAGTTATGAGAGCTCCAGGAGGCTTTTTTCTCAACTAGCCATATGCTCATTAATCAATGACACATATAAGGTGTATTTAGTGAAATACATAATATAAAAGGGTAGCAACATGAGATCAGTACTGCTAATTTTCCAAAAATAAATACAATTTAAAAAAAAAACGTGCACAGGAGAGACATCTCTGTTTCTGGCTTCTTTTCATATTTTAAAAGAGACAGCACCGACTGTCAAATCAAAATGGTATTTTTACAGAATGTGAGGTATTCCATATTCAGCATAACATTAATTTTAACTTAGTCTTTTTAAGGTTTTAAATTTTGCTAATAGAACTGAAGTCTACTCTGTCCTTCTTACAACGACACATAGCCAGGTAAACACACGGTAGGAACAGGTTTAACTGCAGTACTTACTTTTGCCTGGTAATGAGAAGTATGTTGACCCATGTCAATTCATGAATACTTCCTGAAAAAGGAGGTGAAAATCCAGCATTTGAAAGAGTTTCACATATATATTTAAAAAAAAAAATCCAAAAAGAAAGAGGGGAGAAAAAGAATCCAAAGTAGAAAGCTAAACAAAGAAAGCCTGTAAGGTTTACAGCTCTGACTGCAAAATATTCAGCCTGGCAGTTCTAGCAGAAATACAACTCTGTGTACTTGTACATGCTCTCCCCATTAGAGGAGGAGTCAGTTTTGCAACACTTATGTTCCTTGCTTGAGGCAAAACAGTGATTCTCTTCAGCACAAGCTATGTTTGGAGCGTGACAGCTTTAAAGGTGAGAGGTGTACTCTGGAGCAGAGGAATGCATCAGCTGAAAAAGAATAGTTTAAAGCATTGGCTGCGTAAGCTACAGGTTGTTGTGGCTCCTTTGAAATGCTTATTGCCTAAATTTTTTAAAACTAGTAACACTTTAACATAAATCATATCTATAACGCCCACTGTGCAACAGAAGTCCATGTTTTATAGTCTAGAATAGCAAAAATAAAATAAAATAAAATCTTTTTACAACAGAATGAAAGGTGTTGGTTACACAGCAAAAAGCTGACTAAATAGAAGAAAAAAAAATCTTTTTTTGATATTTTTGTTAGCTTTTTCCTCTGTTCTGAAAGTAATTTCAGATTATGTAATGGTGTTTCAAATTCTATCAACATATTAAATTATTTGCTAGTAATCAACCTCTCCTTAGCTGAAGGCATTTTTACATATTTTTATTAATGCTTTCAATGATCCATATTTTTATCTCCTCTTTATTCAAGTCAGTGAATAGAAAATAAAATGCATGTATTTGTAGTGAAATGCAAGAAGATTAATCAAGAACATTCTTTTTCATAATGAAACAAGATTTGTCTGATGTGGGTGTTTAGTTGTTATTATAGTCAAGTCTTTCTAGTCAAGGTCAGAATTGGTCATATCTTGTGACTAAATGGATATTCTGCAGAATATTTCAATCAGTAACCTTATGAACAGTTTCTTGGCAACACAGGCAAGCATTTTTGAGTAAGGAACATATACCTTGCAATCTATTCACACAGAGATTATAGAGCTTCAGGTGTGCTTTTTTCATTGCAGTTGGATTAAACTAACTGCTGCAGAGAGGAAGTTTCTGCCCCCACTTGCTTGCCCCTTTCCATCCATCATGTCTGCTGTGTTATCCATTTCAGGCCAGGTTAGGACAGTTTAGAAAGCTAAAATGGTAGACCATAATTTCTTTTCTCACCTCCTATTATAAATTTCTTGACACTCACTTTGAGGTCAAACAAATGCTAGCAATATGGGAATGGAATGCATAGCTGGCAATAAAGTCTCAGTTGATGGTATCATAAAACTATGCCCTAAAATATTAGTGTGTTCAGCTAGCTGTAATCAAAATTTTCCTGTGACTATTCTATGTAGAAAGAGTAAATAGGGAATGTGTGTTTAAAACGAGGCTGTCTCTTCAGAAATGAGAAAAGGAATAAACAGTAGAACCTAACAGATATTTCACAAGACAGAAAAGATGTATCAAGCTATGGGTTTTTGTTGTTGTTGTTTTGCTTTATGTCTGCATCCACTTGCTGCTGCTATATAGAGGGCAATCAGATCAGGAGTAAAGGGTGAGAGTGATAAGATCCTGCAGAGGGAAGAGATTTTCAAAATGAAAGTGGATCAAGGAAGTACTGGTTCACATCATCGCTGTCTTAATTTCTCTAAGAGGACTGTAATAATATTAAGGGTCTGCATGTATACATTTTCTCCTTATCAAAACAGGCCATATAACCCTAGAATCTGGGTGAAGGGAATAAGACAGAACACAAACTAAATCACCAATGGTTTAGTGAAAGATGAGATGAGAGATGTGAGTTAATAACTATCACTGAAATCTGTAACAAGGATAACTTTAGACATTTATACCTACACTATCTAGTTTATAGGTAGCCGATGTAATGCAACCTTGGCAACTGTAGAAGCAGACACTATGGTGTGAGGCAGTTCTTAAACATTTCTCCAGCATTTTGAAGTATTTTTTTCAGCTTTTAATAAGCAGCGGTGTGCCTGTTATACTACTAGCTACACTCAAGCCAGTCAGGCAAGTCTGTACAAGCATACTTAGGCTCTGGTGTAATGCTGCCAAGAAAAGACAACTGTGATCCTAGCAGCTCTGGATTAAGAGGAAGATCCAAGGTAGCAGTATAATCCCATAGACACAATACACAGGTCACCCATGTACAAGATTCCTTTAAATTAGGATAGGTGAAGAGTAAAGTTACCAAGATGAGGTAAAGGATCTGAAGTCTACCTATTACATAGTGACTAACATAACTTGGCTGATTTAATCTGGCAAAATAGAAGTTCATGTGGAAAAGGTTACAGGCACCTACATGTCCTTATGAAGATGGTGTATGCCTATCCGTACAAAAGCATGTGTTAGACCAGTCCAATAGCTGCTTAAGCTGTAGAACAATGCTGGAGCAAATAGATAACAAATACAAATGAGGCAGGAAGGTAAAAGTATACTAGCCACCAGCAAATGAAAAAAATGGAGCAGACTTCCAACAGGGTAAAAAAAGTATGGCTCTTCGAGAATAGAGTTTGGCAAGTCTGTGGAAGGAATTATGGGCTTGACTCATTTTTTATCATGTAATGGTGAATCCACTTTAAAATCTGGTCAGGCCAGGATTTTAAGCTTTCTCTACAGTCAATGAAGAAAGATTATTATGCGACAGGGATGGAAACCTACTAGTTTTGTTTCCAGAGATTCATTTATGAGAAAAGTTAGGATTGGAAACCTTTAAAATCAGCTAATAAATTCCAAGGAGCAGTGCTTACACTGACATCAGCAGATCATCTGTGGAAAGGAGGGCTTAGAGGAGAGCATGGGCCTAACTTCATTTTCACTATGACATTTGTACCACTGCAATCTCATCAGCCTTAGTGAAGTTACTTTGCATCACAGTGGTATCAGCCTCCTCAAACTCAAGTTCAGACTTCTCAAACGATCACAATTTCACTGCCTCTCAAAAAAATGTAAAATAGTGTTACAACAGTAACACTGGGAGGAAGGTGGAAAAGAGGGTAAAACTTGGAGGAACCAGTGAAAAGAAGCAGCAAGGTTTTAGAAGAAAAACACTAAAAGGAACTTTGCAGGCAGTCAGACTGAAAGAGCATATTAAAGGAGACAGCAATCAGTTCTTTTTTTTCCCCCCATACTCTCAAATACACTCAGGCTTTCCTCAGTGAGCAACTGCTGGCATAGGAGTTACAGCTGTTTGTCCCTGCCCTTCTTTTCTCCCTGCTCAGTTCCTCACAAAAAGCATGGGAAAGCAAACAGGATAAGTCTCAGCTTCTTAAGTATAGAGAAAAGAATAAAAGAAGTAAGAATTCAGAGAGCAACACTTTTGTTTGCTGCTGCCTTCTTTCCTTACCACAACTTCCTCTGAGGAAGAAAAATCTGCCAAAACCCTCATATGTCTTTTTAGAGACAGACAAAATGTATTTAGTATGGTCATTTTCGAACAAAAGAAGATGTGGCAAGTGTTATGACCCCTCACTCATTCTCATATGAACTCAAAAGTCCTGTCCCTTTACTGGTTCATGTACACATCAGGAGAGTAACAGTGCCTAGGAGCAGAATGTCTTTAGCCCACAGTGCTGATCATTGTGGCAGTAGCTTATGCTACCTCAGAATGGTCCATGAGAATGGCTGAGCTGAAGACATGCCTTCTCATTTACCAAAAATAAGCTCTTCCCTGCTTCTATATTTTTGGTCTCAGACAAAAATTTTCAAGATTGCTCATAACACATTTCCAGTCTTTACATTTGTAAATCTTTCTCAGCATCCTTTGCTATTCTCAGACAAAGCCACAATCACTTTGGTGACTGCAGGGCTTGTGCTCGTGTCACCAATAGCCAGACCAGCACAGCAGTCTGCAGTTAAGGCACTTCATTCTTATACTTCTGTTATTCGTGCAGCTACGCAGCAGGCAGTCCCAACACTAGTATTTACTGCTGTGATGTACATAGATTCTACAGGGCTCTGATTGGAGGGACTTTGTTGCAGCCTTCCAGTACTTGAAGTGAGATTATAAGCAGGAAGGGAACTGACTTTTTATGTGGCCTAATAGGACAAAGAGGAATTACTTTTAAAAGGGGAAAATGGTGATATATGTTAGGGGGACTTTTTTAATGCAGAAATTGGTGAGGTGCTGGTACTGCTGCCTAAAGGGTGTTCCATCCCTGGAGGCACTCAAAGCTGGGTTGGATGGGTCCCTGGGCAGCCTGAGCTGGTGGGGGCACTGCCCATGGTGCTTGTTACTGGATGGACTTAAGGTTCCTTCCAACCCAAGCCATTCTGTTATTCTGTGATTCTATGAATAATGTATTTCATGAGAAAAGATAGCAGATCTTGGGTTATGTGAATTTTTCACCAGCCATAAAAATTGCCAGTCTTCTTTATCCTGAGGCATGCTGGTGATCTTTACATTGATGTGCAGTGGATGATTAAAGAATGGACTCTCACTCAGCATGATCTTTCTGTCACAGGCACACTGGCAGCCCAGCAAGGCCTCAGCCATGGGGAGCCCTGCAGTGGCAGCAGGTGTGCCTGTGACAAAGCAGCAGCTCACGTGGACCAAGAAAGGTAGGGCTTCCTGGTATGAGCAGTGCACATTGCCGGAGTAAACCTGACATGTGATTGCGATAGGTAGGACTTTTGCCAGAAATGAGGTAACTTCTAATCTTGTATGAAAGTTGTCCTTTAACTACCAACTAAAAAAATATTCAGTCTACTGCACATGCTCATGCCTTCAGCCTGTGTGTCTCCTTATCTACATTGGTGTACTAGGTTTACCTGGTGAGGTTTTTATTAAGGGGGGGGGGGCGGGACGGGGTGAAGGAGGGAGGAGGAGGAGGGAGTGTTGCAGGAGTGACAGAGCATAGCCCAGAACTGCCCCATATCAGATCAGAACTGGCTCCAGCTGCTCCAAAGG